CACACTCTCACACACACACACACACACTCTCATACACACACACACACACACACACACTCACACTCTCATACACACAGACACACACTCACACACACACACAGACAGACACACACACACACACACACACACACACATCAGAAAATGTTTAGACGTATTTGTTTAAAGTTAAACTTGAGATGAATGAAGTGAAGGCTGACTGAAGCGTGATTGATGTGCGGCTTTATTAGTCCTTATATTGTTCTGTGAGTGTGTGTTTATCTAAGTGTGTGTTCTCTCTGTTTTTAAATCCACTTCCTGGAGATGTCTTGCCATTTCCTGCCTGATCAGCCGTAGTTGCAGGAAGTTGTTGGCATTTATCTATAATCTTAACAAGTGTGAGATACGGGTCAGATTTTCCCTTCTGAAAAAACACAAACACATGCAAACACAGAAACGCAGTGACTTTCTTATACATGCTCCTGGTCTTATTGTGTATGATTTATTAGTGCAAGGTCTTTCAAAGAATTCAAACGGGTGAAAAATGTAACTTTGAAAAGACTTTCTTTGGCAGTTATAGTCATAAATATACTGTGTCACTCACATAAACATATTCGAAAGTGAATCACGATGTAATCACATTGGTCATCATCACATTAGTGTTGTTTTGGTGTTATTTTATATATTATATATTTTATTGTATTATTGGTGTATTATATAATTGTGTTACACGCTTTTGTCATTTTTAGTAGCTTTAGTTTTTTAAATATTTCTATTTAGGTTTAATTTATTTTTATTTTAGTTTGTCATTTTAGTACTTTAACTTATTTATTTCAGTTAGTTGCCAAGTGTAACAATTGTAATTTTCATTTAAGTTTAAAGTTTTTTTTTATGTTAAAGTTTTTCATCTAAAATGTAATTTAATAAAAAAAAATTTAATTTAGTTTTTAATTAATTAAAATTTTCATTTAGCATTTTCATTTTTTTTTTATTTAATTGAACTTTTCATTTAGTTTAATAATTTTATTTCAGTTTTATTTTCATTCTAGTAGTTTCTGTACTTCAGTTTATTTATTTCAGTTAGTCGCCAAGGCAGCATTTCTCATTTTTAAGTGTAAAAGTCTTTAATATATATATTTTTCAATTTGATTTTATTTCTTTATTTTATTTTGTTTTATAAAAATTATTTACGACACTGCATCACATTATGTCAGTTATTATTTGCATATAGTAGAATTTGAAGCATCGAAAATGGCCAACTCTCATTGAAAATGTATGACTTATGGTCGCTTTTTGGCTGCAATTCATTGTAACCCAGGAGTGTTTTGGCTTCCATCAAATCGATTACACAATAACAGTTCAACAGTAGCACACCTACGTACACACCGCAGTAGTTACCAAAACAGTGATTATTAGTCTTTTTTTATCTGGTTATCTGTATATGATTGTGATCTATTTTTTAGGCGTTAATGTATAAGCTGTCATTCTGATCTGTATGTATGTATTTGTGTGTTTGTAATCCTGTGATCTTTCTGTGTGTGCAGGTCATCACACAGTCTACATTGGAGTTCACGTGCCTAAGAGTTACCGTCGCCGTCGACGACACAGACGACGATCCAATCACAAAGAGAGGAGAGAGCGTTTGATGGAAAACGTCAGCGACAAATCAGACACAGAGACTGCAGACGATCCGTCCTCCAGCATCCTCAAACCACTCAGTAAGAGCGAAATGAAGACAAACTGCCCATCGTGCACTCGGTTTACTATATTTTTAATTATATAATTCAATACAATTTAAATTAATTAAAATGAATAATATAATTATAGTAAAAAAGAAAAAACAAAGATTCATCCTGGCAACAGATGGTTAAAAACAAACGCCATCCATTCTTGCACGTCAAGTCTGAATTGACTTAAATGATTATATTATATTATTATTATTAAAATAATATTATAAATTATTATATTATTACTTCAGAAGTCACGTTGACTACTTTGATTACATTTTATAGTACTTTTTAGGATTCGCCATAGGATTTAGGATTTCCCTTAAAGCAGCAGCTCAGACGTCTCATTCTGCGTTTCACAAAAGAAATAAATCAATTAAAAAAATTCTTGATGTCTCACATGACAACCTTCACAGATATTTCCCAGGCCTTTATCACAGAGCAATCCATGATGTTCTGGAGAATCAGGGAGTGATTTAAATAAATATGATTCAGCCGAGAGCGAGAACGAGATAAAGCGGCGCTCACAGCCTCAGTTAAAGGTCTTTGTGTGTGCTAATCTCTGCTAATCAGTGACACGGCTGAAAAGGCAAAGCATCGAGCTAAACAAGTGCATAGTCACCTTTATCCTCAGTGAACCCGCTCCAGTTCTCCGTCGCTCTCTCTGACTGTCAGTCCTGGGAGAATCACACATTTCACACAGGCAGTACTTACAGTTATTTACTGGGTTTAACTAACAAACACATTTCTCACATCAATAGTATGAACGGCTTCTCATTGCCCGGATTTGTGGCTGGATTTAGCATTAACGGTCAGCTGATCGCAGCAATGCCGCTAGTTTGAGTATATGCTGCTGATATAATGGGTAATTTTAGCCGCTTGTGGTAAGAAGTGTTAACTTTTAGCCCAGGTTAGGAGGCACGGAGCCAGACATGGGCCAGAGGGATGTTCTTTCACTCTCTTTTGTGTACAACACAGTCTTATTTTCTCCAGAGGGGCCGTTTTAAGGCCGTTGGGGGAGGAAAACAATCATCCAGCTTTGGCTAGTTTAGTTTAGATTAGCTGAGCATGCTGCAAATGTGCTAAAATGCACAGAGAGAGAAAGGCAGAGCATGTTAAAAAGCCTTTGATATGTTAAAATATCAGTGTCCAGTGTAAAATCTGGTGCCACTGCCTAGCACATTTTCTCATTTAATATGTTTTTTTTTTTTTTTTTAAATTCCATTATAGTGTCATAAATTAAAATCATAAATTCCATATAAATGTCATAAAAATTATTATTACGATTGTTTTAGTATTTGGTTTGTCCCTCTTTTGGTTTAATGATCGCTGCACTGGAGCTCATATGCAAATATCTCTATAAATGTCATAAAGTTGCTTATTAGTTCTAGAAATAGTGCAACATATTAAAGGGGTCATATGATGCTATTTTAAAGATCATTATTTTGTGTATTTGGTGTAACAGAAGTGCTTTTACTTTCGCACTGAAATATACAGCGTCTCCCTGACATCAACACTAACTGCGATTCCTGAAACCACGCCTTCTTTCTTTGCATGAACAATTGGGCGGCATTACGCAAATATTTCCACATCGTGATGTAGACATGTGGGGGCGTGTTTGAATGAGGCGTTTTAGCCCGGTCTGGATCAGCCTTCACTTTTAGATAGAATAAATCCTTTTGTGGGAGACTTTGAGCTTTGTAACTCTGCAGATCGTATACATGCACAAATAGCTGCATAACACACTAAAGAAAAGGAAAAATAGAAATCGCATCATATGACCCCTTTAAGTGTTTCTTTGTCGTTGTAATGATTCTTTGTTTCAAATTTCTTTTTAAACAAGCCCTAAATAGTTCATAATGCCAAAATAGACACAAGTACCGTATTGTTGTTGATAAGAAAATTCTAAGAAAGTATTTTAGTTGCTTTTGTTTGATGTCACAACAGAAAACAGAACTTTCTTAAAATTCATTGTTGCCCAATTGAAATTCTGAGTTTGACAAAGACATAAACAGTTTTCAGAAATTCGTAATTATATCTATAGTAGCATTATCTATATTTATTATTCTTTATATATATATATATATAATGTATACAAGGCTGCATTTATAAAATCAGTATGCATATCAAATCAGTAATATTGTGAAATATTATTACAAATCAAAATAACTGTCTTCTATTTGAATATATTTTAAAATGTCATTTATTCCTGTGATCAGATCTGAATTTTCAGCATTATTACTCCAGTCTTCAGTGTCACATGATCCTTCAGAAATCATTCTAATATGCTGATTTGCTGCTCAAGAAACATATATTATTATTATTATTATTATTAATGTTGAAAACAGTTTTGCTGCTTCATATTTTTGTGGAAACTGTGTTTCAGGATTCTTTGATGAATAGAAAGTTCAAAAGAACAGCATTTATCTGAAATAGAAATCTTTTGTAACATTATAAATGTCGCTTTTGATCAATCAAATGTATCCTTGCTAAATAAAATTAATAATTTCTTTAAAAATGTACTGTATTAGTATTTAGTATATATTTAGAAGTACACAGAAGTAGACAAATTAATCCTTAAAACTAATGAATGGGTTGATATGTGTGTATCTGTATCTGCTGAGAGCTTCATCCTGTCCCTACATGTCTTTACTTTGACCTGAGGCCAAATTGAAAGCATGTACATCTGCACACATGCATGGCATGCATTGATACACAGACCTTGAGATTTTGAATCAAAATATTCAGTCAGTCACTATGTTGCAATGCAACCGAGAGATTTCCACATATACTGACTTCCCTAACTAGCAGTCTGTCTGGAAGGCCCTTTTTTTTTTAACCTAATTTCCCAGACGTAGACAAAAATCTCATCAGTATCCCAAAAATCTTGCCTTAAACCTTTTGTTTGTTCTAGTTTTACCTTTAAAAGGCCTTGTCTTTGTGATGTAAAAGTGTACACATTTAGAAAAGGTGTGGCGCCACTTAAACATTACGACATATGCAACACTGCGGTTATGAAAAGCGCTGACAGGCTCTTTTATATTGAAAAAAAACTAGGCTTCCTCATGCAGACACTTTCACATATGAAAACTTCTCTGTTGCAGGTCAGTTCTGGCTTTTGCAACACTATCTATTTCTGTTGGTCCAGGAAAAAAGTCTCACATACTGACCACTTTTTGGGTGCAACACACTGGATATTTACAAGAAAGCTCATTCATCTTGATGTTACATAACACCTATGAAGGAAATAACCTGTGATTTCTATTACAGTCATACCTTACGCAGACAGAGCGCTATTGTCGTCTTGCGTGTTTCTGTTATTGTATCTATTGTTTGATTATAATAGCTAGTATTTTTAGGCCTCTCTCACCCCTGGTTTGTTGTTTCCCCGTCAGTTTCTCCGGCTGCAGAGAGGATTCGCTTTATTTTGGGGGAAGATGACAGCGGCCCTCCTCCGCCGCAGCTCTTCACCGAACTCGACGAGCTTCTGGCCGTTGACGGTCAAGAGATGGAGTGGAAGGAAACAGCCAGGTAAAGTGTAAAAACACACATTATGAGAATTGGAATAGATACATAAGCAATTTGATTCCAATCCATGTCGTATTTTTTTCTCAACATTGCCACAAGGGGCGCTATAGTGCGTATTAAAGGTATCATGACATAAGAAATAAAATTTGCCTTGATTTTTTGGCATATAAGAGGTCTTTGTACCCAGGGCCGTCGCAAGGGGGGTGTGAGGCCCTGCGCGAAGTTGACGTGCGAGGCCCTCTGCAATTTGTGTGTGTGTGTGTGTGTGTGTGGTGGGGGGGTGCTATAATAACGAACGCAACTTTAACACGCATCTGATCGATTGTGATGCCATGCTCACTGACATGCTTACGCACGAATCACGGTCACGCACACGCTCATAAGAATTGTAAGATCTACTGCATAATAATAATAATAAAGCAATTAAATAAGTAAATAAGAATGCTAAAATAAGTTCTAGGTTTGTAGTTATATAATGAAGTAGTAATCAATTTACACTATTTAAAAATAATATTTTATTTTAAAATGTGCACATTCACTCTTATTCGTATGTCTAATAGTCGAAAATGCAAACGTCTCTTGTCACGTTCATTTATGATTTACATGAATCATGATCGCATATTTTCAATTCAAAACGGCGAAATTTCAGTTTTAATTTCGTAGTTTGCATCACTAGATTATGTAGTCTATTACTGTCGGTCGCTGAACATTTCTATTGTAAAACAGTTTTCTAATACAGTACTACTGTACTTACATCTTTCCACGAACTCTCGTTGCGTTGTGACAGTGACAGTAAGACCCGCCTTCTTTGATTTGATTGGCCATCTCGATCATTTTGACATTGACGAGCGCTGTCGAACCACTGAGGCAGACCAGCCTAAAGGTTTAACTTTTAAAACTTTTTGTCATCCTAACAACAAACAGCTTTACTCATTCTTATACACAGAGTCTTATACTGTCTATCAGCTATGACTAAGCCGCTTTTCCACTATCGGGCCGAATGGTTCTCTTTGCTTAACCGTTCCATTCTATGCCGATCCTGGCCAGCCAGCACGGATACGGTTTCATTTTCCACTGTGGTGCTGATAACGGAGCTCTTTGGAATGCAATACAAATGCGTAATTGTACAAGCCGTACCAGACAGTTCTTAGAACCGTTCGGCCCGATAGTGGAAAAGCGGCTTATTTTTAGTCTTCCAAAGGACAAAATGGGTGGAAAAACAGTAATAACAATTAACGTTAGACATAAACGACATAAAAAGCAGGCCAGAAGCGAGGCATTTATAAGCAAAGCATTTATTTAATCAAGCAGCAAAAATTGCTTGTTTGGATATTGTGGGATTTTTGTCATCACACAGGCGAATATATTTGCATATGACCGCCTCCAGAGCAAGAAATCAACCAATAGTTATACATCTTCACACCATAGGCCCCGCCCACTGGCATATACTAATCTGTTTTTGTAGCGCGCCTCCCATCCAATAAATCACAATAAGCTTCGTACATTTTCACTTTTGATATAAAAACAAAGCTTCAGATGTCAAATTCTGTCCATTTTATTACAATATTCAAGCAATAAATATCATTTTGGCGGTGACAGATTGCTGTAGCACCTCACTTCAAGAGAAGCGGCAACACGAGGCGCGCATGAACTGATCATCTCCTCCGCTTTAATAACAGTTTCAGCACGAATAAACATGAATGAAAATCCAAAGGTATGTTAAAAGAAAGAGTACAACTTGCTTACCGAAATTCGTATCCTGTAATCGTTCAATAAGTGTTTCAACCGCGGAAAGACGTCAATATAACAGCTTGTAAACAATATGACGCATACCGTCACTTTTACCTCAGAAAAAAAAAAACATATTCGGTGACCATAAACTGGTTAGTCAGCTAGAAAAATGAACTCTAGAGAGGAGCATTTCACTAAATATAAGCACTATATAACATATTTCAGATTATAATTTGTACTGTTCTTCAGTATTTAATTTATGTTTGAATAAATCTGTCAAGTTTTTATGACAGCCACCATTTAAATGTTTATATTTCAAAAGACGAATTGGAGTAGAAATATAATTATGTAATTTTTAAAGTTAGTATTATAACTTTATTATTATAAAAAACTTCATTGAGTGTAATTTCAGTGTTTGTATACGAATCAGTTAATTTTAACATTCAATATTATCGTAATGTATAGTACAAACTGACTCTCATGTATATTTGACAGCATTAGTTGAGAGATTTTGTTCCATGAGAAAATTTGCCATGTACTGTACCCAGTGTTGGGAAGTAACTAATTACATGTAACGGAATTACGTAATTTAATTACAAAATAAATGTAACTGTAATCAGTTACAGTTACTGAGAAAAAATCTGTAATTACATTACAGTTACTTTTGAAAATGAATTTTTTCACACACACCCACATACAGATTTAATTAATTTCTTTCCCAAATTGCATTGACTGCTCTAAAATATGAGACACCAATGTTTCAGGAGTTTAGGACACAGAATAGGACACGTTTATATGATAACGGTTATATTTCCTATTTGGGTTTATGTATGTGCTTTATTTTTTTAAGATTAACTGTTAGATGCCTGTTTCCTGTCATGCAAAGATTTGATTTCAAAAAACGGTATCATAGCTATTAAACTATTTCTTGTTATGGTTTTAAAGCTGTATTTAACCTCAGAACGATCTCAAAGTCTGAGTTTGTGGTGGCTGTGCTTTAAAAAATAAATGATTGTAATCTTAAATCAAGTGATGAAGGAAGTCTGACAGTAATCATGCAGTGTTGAGCGCTACTGTAAGGTTAACCCTGCCTGGTTTAAATGTTTGAAAATGATTATCAGTTAAAAACATCCGTTAGAAATTTAGAAAAGTAATCAAATGTAATCAGTTACATTACTTTAATAAAGTAATTGAAATAGTTACACTACTTATTACATTTTAAATAGGGTAACTTGTAATCTGTAACCAAAGTAACCTTCCCAACACTGACTGTACCTGATGTAATCCAAAATCATCTTTCCACGAACTCTCGTTGCGTTGTGACAGTGACAGTAAGACCCGCCTTCTTTGATTTGATTGGCCATCTCGATCATTTTGACATTGACGAGCGCTGTCGAACCACTGAGGCAGACCAGCCTAAAGGTTTAACTTTTAAAACTTTTTGTCATCCTAACAACAAACAGCTTTACTCATTCTTATACACAGAGTCTTATACTGTCTATCAGCTATGACTAAGCCGCTTTTCCACTATCGGGCCGAATGGTTCTCTTTGCTTAACCGTTCCATTCTATGCCGATCCTGGCCAGCCAGCACGGATACGGTTTCATTTTCCACTGTGGTGCTGATAACGGAGCTCTTTGGAATGCAATACAAATGCGTAATTGTACAAGCCGTACCAGACAGTTCTTAGAACCGTTCGGCCCGATAGTGGAAAAGCGGCTTATTTTTAGTCTTCCAAAGGACAAAATGGGTGGAAAAACAGTAATAACAATTAACGTTAGACATAAACGACATAAAAAGCAGGCCAGAAGCGAGGCATTTATAAGCAAAGCATTTATTTAATCAAGCAGCAAAAATTGCTTGTTTGGATATTGTGGGATTTTTGTCATCACACAGGCGAATATATTTGCATATGACCGCCTCCAGAGCAAGAAATCAACCAATAGTTATACATCTTCACACCATAGGCCCCGCCCACTGGCATATACTAATCTGTTTTTGTAGCGCGCCTCCCATCCAATAAATCACAATAAGCTTCGTACATTTTCACTTTTGATATAAAAACAAAGCTTCAGATGTCAAATTCTGTCCATTTTATTACAATATTCAAGCAATAAATATCATTTTGGCGGTGACAGATTGCTGTAGCACCTCACTTCAAGAGAAGCGGCAACACGAGGCGCGCATGAACTGATCATCTCCTCCGCTTTAATAACAGTTTCAGCACGAATAAACATGAATGAAAATCCAAAGGTATGTTAAAAGAAAGAGTACAACTTGCTTACCGAAATTCGTATCCTGTAATCGTTCAATAAGTGTTTCAACCGCGGAAAGACGTCAATATAACAGCTTGTAAACAATATGACGCATACCGTCACTTTTACCTCAGAAAAAAAAAAACATATTCGGTGACCATAAACTGGTTAGTCAGCTAGAAAAATGAACTCTAGAGAGGAGCATTTCACTAAATATAAGCACTATATAACATATTTCAGATTATAATTTGTACTGTTCTTCAGTATTTAATTTATGTTTGAATAAATCTGTCAAGTTTTTATGACAGCCACCATTTAAATGTTTATATTTCAAAAGACGAATTGGAGTAGAAATATAATTATGTAATTTTTAAAGTTAGTATTATAACTTTATTATTATAAAAAACTTCATTGAGTGTAATTTCAGTGTTTGTATACGAATCAGTTAATTTTAACATTCAATATTATCGTAATGTATAGTACAAACTGACTCTCATGTATATTTGACAGCATTAGTTGAGAGATTTTGTTCCATGAGAAAATTTGCCATGTACTGTACCCAGTGTTGGGAAGTAACTAATTACATGTAACGGAATTACGTAATTTAATTACAAAATAAATGTAACTGTAATCAGTTACAGTTACTGAGAAAAAATCTGTAATTACATTACAGTTACTTTTGAAAATGAATTTTTTCACACACACCCACATACAGATTTAATTAATTTCTTTCCCAAATTGCATTGACTGCTCTAAAATATGAGACACCAATGTTTCAGGAGTTTAGGACACAGAATAGGACACGTTTATATGATAACGGTTATATTTCCTATTTGGGTTTATGTATGTGCTTTATTTTTTTAAGATTAACTGTTAGATGCCTGTTTCCTGTCATGCAAAGATTTGATTTCAAAAAACGGTATCATAGCTATTAAACTATTTCTTGTTATGGTTTTAAAGCTGTATTTAACCTCAGAACGATCTCAAAGTCTGAGTTTGTGGTGGCTGTGCTTTAAAAAATAAATTATTGTAATCTTAAATCAAGTGATGAAGGAAGTCTGACAGTAATCATGCAGTGTTGAGCGCTACTGTAAGGTTAACCCTGCCTGGTTTAAATGTTTGAAAATGATTATCAGTTAAAAACATCCGTTAGAAATTTAGAAAAGTAATCAAATGTAATCAGTTACATTACTTTAATAAAGTAATTGAAATAGTTACACTACTTATTACATTTTAAATAGGGTAACTTGTAATCTGTAACCAAAGTAACCTTCCCAACACTGACTGTACCTGATGTAATCCAAAATAATAGAATTGCAAGCTTGTGAATCAAAATGTAATCGAATTGTGTAATTTGTGTCAATACTCAGCCCTAATATATGTTGTGCAAAAAACCTTTATTAACCTCTATTATAAGTGAACCTCAAGGAATATATTAAAATAATAAAAACAACTTCATCAGATATGAGACAAATTCAATTTCTGCAGCTCTAAAAGACAAATGAGTCATTATTCAGTTTGAGTCAATTCAGTGTTGATTCAGTTCAGTAGTGTAAATTCATTCGGTTCAGCCATTAGCAGCTGTACTGAAGACAATCGTGTCGTTATTCAGCTCCAGTCAGTTCAGTGTTAATTCGATTCAGTTCAATAACTGTGTCAAGCAAAATGCGTCAACTGTGAACGAATTTGATTCAGCTATAAAAAGCTCTACAGAAGACAAAACTCGTCATTCAGTTCAGTTCAGTTCCCCCAAAAATCATTTCCAGATTTCGGCTAACTTCAGCCAATGATTTTTTTCCAGCTGTTTTGTCCTCAGACGGATATGTAGGTCAGAAACGCACGCTTGAAAGGGGGAGACTTCTCGTCTGGCTCTGCTAATACAACTGAAGTATTCAACAGTCGCGTCATTTGCCAGGTGCTCGTGATTTTAGTGTGCCACTTGACTGTTCTTAGGATTTCACACATACCTGACTCACGTATGCTATTAGATAAGAGTCTGGGCTCCAGAATAAGGGTCAAGCAGAAAACGGCACCAAATATAACAAAAGAAAAATGCATCTGAACTAAAAGAGAGGTACATGCTTATTTTTTTCCATTACTGCAGGTCTTTTCCTGTCACGAACGTATCGACTGACCGACACACACACAGGCCTTGCTAACTAGTAATTGAGTCTAAATGAAACGTTTATTTAACAGGTAAATCATGTTTTTGAATCGTTCTATGAAATGGGTGACTTTTCTATTATGTAAAGTTGAAAAAAATGTTCATAATTGACAGGGTGGAATATGATTTAGATATGTTGTATTTGGCTAATCTTGTCCAACGTGACAAATAAAAGACTGATGTCAAATGTTAGTAGAACAAGCTTTTGAAATGAGTTTTTCTGAAAACTTTTATGATGCCACTCCCTTTTCATTATGACATTTAAACTGACATTTCACAACTATTTTGAGGGGGAAATCACATGGATGATTTGATTATTTTATTTCTTATTTATTTTATTGCATTTATTTTATTTTGTTTTAAGTAAATATGATTTATAATGTGAAAATTAAAACCAGTGCACATTTGATCATGATTTATTTATTTAAACTAAAATTCACTTATTATTTTGAGGGAAATAATAGTTTAATGGGGATAAAAACTCACATGGATAGATTCTCCTTTATTTATTTATTTAGATAAATGTGATTAATAATGTGAATCTGAAAACCAGTGCACATTTTATTTAAGCTACACAGACATGCAAATACAACAAATTAAAGTGCAAATACAGAATTTTGAAATTTAAGTTTTTGATTAATTTTGAATTAATATTTAAGTACATACAGTCAGTAGCAGTTTTTGGGTTTAGTTCACTTCATCAAATGGTGTGGACTCAAATGGTGCTCCTTTCATACAGCGACTCTTATATACTGTTTCTTTCTTTGGATTTGCATGTTCCAGATTTACATGTTAAGAGCTACATGGATCATGTTAAAATGAAACCATTTGCAAACAAAGAGCCCAGTGTTTTCATGTGTGTGCACATGTGTGTGTGTGTGTGTGTGGATGCACAAAGCCAGAGTTCCCAGAGTTCCCATGGGTCTCTGGGTTCACCTGAGTCTCAGGTAACATATCAAAGCCGCAGTGTGTGTGTGTGTGTGTGTATGTATCACTTTTGTCTCGGATATTATACCCACGCTTGGCTAAACGCAGCTCAGCAGCCTTTCTGCACAAGATTACAGAGCTCTAAAGGATATCTGTGTGCTTGGGTATCGTTTGTCTAAGACAGATGTTCGCTCAAGCAGACATGGGTAAGCTGATAACAGGGCAGCAGAGCTTTAAGAAGGATTGAATCATTTTCATTATTATTTTACATCAGAAAGCTTTCAGTTAGTTGGCAGAAAGGCAAATATAAGGTCTTCATAATATGGTCTTGCAAGCATAAAATACATTAAATACCATGGTACAGAGATGGTAGAACGATGATAATCAATGATTACCATATTCATATAAATCACTGGTCAAAAGAGATTATTTCCTGTTTTTGAAAAAAGCCTCTTTTGCTCACCAAGGCTGCATTTTTTTTGTGATCAAAAATACTGTAAAATCAGTAATATTGTGAAATATTATTACAATTTAAAATAACTGTTTTCTGTTTGAATATATTTAAAAATGTAATTTATTTCTGTGATGCAAAGCTGAATTTTCAGCATCATTACTCCAGTCTTCAGTATCACATGATCCTTCAGAAATCATTCTATGTAGATTTTTACTGTAGAGAAACATTTCTGATTATTATTATCGTTGTTATTATCAGTGTTGAAAACATCATAAATTATATGATTTAAATATAGTGGAATTTTATATTTTTTTGTGGAAAATGCTATTTGTTTTACAGGTTATTTGATAAAAATTTAAAAAATCTATTCATTTAGTCAATTTAATGCATCTTTGCTGAATAAAAGTGAATTTCTTTCAAAAAGTATAAAAATTAAATATTTATGATATTTTATAGAACATATATTATCATGGTACATAATACACTGTGATCGATGACCAAAATTAAGACAGAAACATGGTATTATCATAGAACATGCCCAAAACATGGTCTGTTTTGCATGTACCTCGGTAAAACCCATGTTGCATGCCCAAAATACATGGTATTACTATGGTAAATGTTCACAAAATATAATATTCTCATTGTAACATGAAAGATGAAATGTCATTATCATGGTACATGCCCAAAAAACATGGTATTTTCATGGTATTTTTTCAAAAGTGAACTGATGTCAGTGCTCTAAATATTGCTCAGTTGCTTTCAGTACATTTATGTGTGTTGTGTGTTTTTCTCAGGTGGATAAAGTTTGAGGAGAAGGTGGAGAAGGGTGGAGAACGGTGGAGTAAACCTCATGTAGCCACTCTGTCTCTTCACTCACTCTTCCAGCTGAAAAACTGCATCGAGAAAGGAACCATCAAGCTGGACATGGAGGCCAACTCACTTCAGCAGATCGTCGGTAAAACTGCACTTCAGCACTCTTAGAAATAAAGCTTCTTCAAGGATGCTTTATGGCTGTATAGGGTTCTTTAGAGGTTAAAAAAGATCTTCAGAGCAGTGTTTTGGTTTCTGGGTTCCTTAAACAGGGTTTTTGTGGGTTTTAAAAAAGGCTTTAAATGGTTCACCAATGATTCGCCCTTTCACAAATTAAGGCCTGAAAAGTTCCTAAATCGGATCAGAAGTTTCTTTGTTCCAACACGCTACATATGCAAGTTTACAGTCAAGCAAGCTGAGGGAATAAATAAAAAAGGGGGGAAAATTTTTAAAAATCCTTTTTTATTTAATATTTTAGGGAATTAGTTGTTTCAGACTGTTCATATAATTTAAATTCCCATAAAAGTCCCATAAAAAAATTAAAAAAGATTCATTGGCATTTTATAGCAACTTTCTAAATTATAAATTATTTTTTATTTTATTTTTTATTGATTTCAGTATTTGTAATTATGTGTAATTATGTTTTTAATTTGAGTTATTTTAATTAAACTCAGTTATATAAATTAGAGTGTTTTCTACTGATTTTTAGTATTTACTTTAGTATTTTAGTATTTTTTTAGTGTAATATAAATGTGCAACTCCCAAAAGAAAAAAAAATAATTTTATGTCTTTGTTCTTAGTGAAATTCTTAGTTAAGGTAAATTATTTTTTTTATTTAAATTATTATTTTTTTAATACAGTATTTTATTGTGTCTACTTCCATTTATTCCTATTTATTTAAAATTCCATTTTTTCCTTTACTTCAGGGGTGTCAAACTCAGTTCCTGGAGGGCCGCAGCCCTGCACAGTTTAGTGCGGTATTTTATTGTGTCTACTTCCATTTATTCCTATTTATTTAAAATTAAATTTTTTCCTTTACTTGGTCTTAAATTGACTTTCATAAAACCTGCAGAAACCCAGCTTAAAGCAGCAGTACACCAGGGTTGGGAAGGTTACTTTTAAAATGTATTTCGTTACAGATTACAAAATATATGCTTTAAAAAGTATTTTGTAATGTATTTCGTTAGATTACTTAATTTTAGTAACTTAATCTAAATACTTTAGAATACTTTGGAATACTTAAGGTAAGGGGCATTTTAACTTTGATGTCTTAATTTTATATTAACCACCTCTAAATAAAAATGGGTTGTATGAATGCATTTAAAACAATTATAAATGCATAAATAATGCTATGAGATTAATGTTTTAAATATAACATTTTGAACATAGAAATAAAAAATGATGGGAGGAAAATATGTTTTTAAATATGAAACTAAAACCGCCAGTAGGGGGTGTCTTAATGAAAGAGTCATGGAATCATTCGATTCATTCAAAAGGACTGATTCATTCAGGAATGAAGCAAGTGATTTTATGAATGTAATTGAATCATTCTCTCGACTGATTCGTTCAAAACGCGGCTTCATTCGGGAACCAAATGTTTCTCGCAGACGCGCAACTCTTCTGATGTGGATTTATTTTGAAGGCAGTGGTTATTTGCATTAAGTGCAAATAGCCATAAATTCTATTTACACATGTAGGAAAACAGTAGTATTTTCTTTGCAACAAGTAATAGTAATTAGATGCTATTAATACTTATTGCAAACAGTGGCAGATATGTGATGGGAAAAGGAAGAAGAACGGGGGTTGAATGAGTTCGGCATAAGGCGGATTCAAAGTCAAATCTTATCACCACGTGTCTTAAAAAGGCGTCTTTTTAATGGTCAGTACCAACCAGATTGGCTTTTAGTGTAAATAGATGATCGGTTGTACGGAACCATTTTTGTTGGCGCTCCAGAGCAAATCAGACAATACTGTTCTTTTAAGAAAGTCACTAAATATTAACTTTTTGCTATGAATTGCATAAAATCAGCATCACATTTGCAATCGCGCTAATATTCGGCAAAGCAGCACTCTTCTTCCTCGACTGATATTGCTGAACTATACCATATGTTATTAATATATAGAAAAACAAGAACTCGTGCAAACCTGAGACTGAGAACCAGGGATGGGCGTATCGATCCTGAAGTATCGATATATCGATACTGATGCGAGTATTGAAAGTATCGATACTCAAATAAAAAATATCGATACTAAGGTGTGTTTTATTTACCAGTGATTTTGTTTATTTAACAAAAAATAATGCGTATAATATGCATTAAATTGGACGAATATCCTATGTTAGCGAATAATTGTGTAGGATAGAACTATTTTCCTGCACATCAGAACACATGCAAATGTTGCAAGACAGAACCAAACAATTACAGAGCGTTCACTCACTTCTGACAGTGCATTCAAACAGGGCTGCGTTTCCCAAAAGTATCTTTTGGGAACTGCAGCCCAAAACAATGCTCATAAGAGGACAGAAAAAAAACATATGTTTGAGTTATTTCACAATAAACAAATTGAAATTGTAGCCTACATAGTTTGTGTGCAACTGCATTTATTTAAATTGAATGCTAAAAGTTCATATTGATCATGTTCTATTCTGTAATGTTAACATAAATCATACACTGTCAGAATAAAAAGGTTGCATTTTATGTGTGCAACAGCCTGTCTCTGCCAGTCCCGTACGAAAATGAACCATGGTTTTACTAAAGTGACCGTAGTCAAAGTCCCTTTAAGACAAGTCATGTCACTCGGCGGCCATCTTTGAAAAGCCTCTCGGGCATGCAAGTGCAACTCCTATCTCTTTGAATGGGGAAACATCAAATTCTACAAAACTGTTCACTAAGCTTGCGATTAAATTTCATATTTGAAATTACCAAAGAAATCTGATATCAACTGTGTCATAATGTTTATTTTGCTCAAATAGCGTTAGAAAAAGCTTATTATCCAGGCTAGATCAGCCAGTGTGCATGCGCAGTCCTGAGCACATGTCTCAGAACGCTGACTGTTTCTATAGCAACCGGGACTTCTAACGGCAGCTACAGTGACGCGCTGACCTTACCGATTAGCGATTGGCTCCTTCATTTAGAATTAGATTAGATTGAGCGGCCATATTGAGCGTTGCATTTTTCCCCATCCAAAACTATACGAGTGACACGTCTTGGGTATTCTATAGTCTTTGCCGTAGTTTAACTGTAGTATTTGTAGATTTCCATGGTTACCACCACAGTAAACATATTTTAACCATGTTTAAACAAAAATATAACCTAATAAGTTGCAGTTAAGGCGTATTGAATGTTAAAATGCGTTTCAAATATAATAGTAAGTGGGTATCATTACCCATTTTACTCTTAGTAATTTAATGTTAATAAATTTCATAATTTAAAAGTTCAGTTTAGAAGTATTGGTATCGGTATCGACGATATTGGCCTTTAAAAGTATCGTATCGGTATCGGTGTCGACGATACTGGCCTTCAAAAGTATCGGTATCGTATCGAAAACAAAATAAGTGCTATCGCCCATCCCTACTGAGAACAACTTACTTTAAGATGCTTTTTCAATGTTAGATGTTCCTTTGAAGCCGAGAGAAGTTTTGTTGCAGGTAAACGAAAATTACATTGCTCTGTGATGTTCCGTCTTTTTTCACATTTATAAGTAATATCGTCTTTGTATTTCCATGACAATTACGCGCTTGGCTTTCTGATTTTCTCTTGCATTGTAGTGCGTCGTCTTTAGTCTGCACTCTGCAGGCCAGTTTGCTGTTTGAACAGCTGCACGCGAGTCAGAATCACCAGTGATTAAAATTTCCAATCATTTTACATTAATATTGAAAAAATAAATGACATTAAAAATCAAAGTAATCACTTTGGTAATCTAAAATACTTTTCGGATGTAACTGTAATTTTATTACCACCCATTTAAAATGCAAATATAATGAAATACAGTTACTCATATTTTGTATTTTAAATATGTAACGATGTTTTCGTTTTCGTATTTTGTTTCCAACCCTGCAGTGCACACATGCTGAAATGTGTCTCTGTGTTTCAGAAATGATCACTGACAGTCAGATTGAGAGCGGGCAGCTGAAGGCCGATCTGAAGGAGATGGTCATGTACACTCTGCTGCGGAAACATCGCCACCAGACCAAGAAGTCCAACCTGCGTTCGCTGGCAGACATTGGCAAAAGCGTGTCGAGTGCGAGTCGTCTGTTCAGCAGCCAGGAGAACGGTAACACAGCTGCCACATTAAACCTCTCTCTTACACGCTATCGCTTTCCTCATCTCTCCTCTCGCTTTCACCACCAGCATCTATCAGCTCCATCCATCAGCAGCGTCTCTCGCTCCGTTTACAAAAGGTTGCATTCGTAGCAGATGTCTTGTGGGTAAAATAAAAAGGAGATTTGCACATTGCAAAATACTTTGATGTTTCAAGCTCACAAGTGATCAAATGTGCTGATGAGATGCAGTTGGTTTTTATATTTTCGCAGCAATCAAACCTCAGACCCTCCCAGGAAAGACTAGAAACCTCTAGAAACCTCCAGACATGTTCTCAAGATGTTTTGGCTTCTGAAATTCCTGATAGTGTCTTTTTCTAAATAAAAGTAGCATGTTGATACTTTAGTACCAATCTAATCATGTTTCTCTCAGTTTTAGGAAGTAGCCAAACAAAGTAGCTAACTTAAATTTAACATGAAATCAAAATCCAGCTTTTTGTCTTTGTTGATAAACGTACTTGGTCTTATCGTGATTCACTGGTTCACACAATTCAAAGAAAAACATGTTTGTTATCATAATCTTTCATCAAAAACTGCTTCTGAAATGACTTTCCTTTTCTGCTGACATCATCAAGGCCTTTTATTTTAGCCCCTCCCCCTAGCGACCATATAGAGACACAGTGCACCGTCAGATTCATTCTGTGTGCTTTTTTCTCAATGTTTTAGATGGAAAATCATCTCATTACAAAAGCAAAATGTGTCTTGTTTTGACTTTAATGTTGAAGAACTAGAAACTAGTTCTAGAAATGTTGTCTAAATGTCAAGAAATGTAGCGTGACAATAGATCTGATGTTTTCATAATACTGTAGCTTTGTCTAGAAACAAGGTATTTGTTGTAATGCTAAATGGCTATTTTTAATGTGCTGCACATGCAAGTGTACAGTCAAACAAGCAGAGGGGATAATCAAATGCTCTTTCATGCAAACATATGGCATTTGAAGTCTTTTTTATTTAATTTATTTTAGGAAATCAGTTGTTTCGGATTTTTCATATAAGTGAACTACTCTCATAAAAAGGAAAAAAGGTTCATTGCATTTTACTTCTTCTTTCTCGTAGCCAAATTGTTTGTTAAATTAAATTAAATTGTATTTTATTTTTCAAAATTTTAAATTCTTTTAATTAAT